CATATGATTCCACACTTACATGACATTCCATCTCATGTTGAATACGAGAGTCTTAAGACATTTGGTGTCAGTCAGAAGCAGAGGGAACTCATTGCCAAAGATTACGACACTATCACTGAGAACTTGTTGCAAATGTTTGAACTAATTCTGCATAATATTAGATATAATAACAATAACATTGTAATCGTATCGGCTTTGGAAGCGCTTCAGCAGCTCATGAAAACCCCTCCAAAACTTATTCTTCCATATCTTTGTGACCCGAAAGGCATCGATAAGTCAAGAATCGGGAGTTATATGCAGTCGACACCCGTTTCTCCGATGCTGTCATTACATCGAAATAAGGGTCGAATGCAAAGCACTAACTCTTTGAGCTGTTCTTCCATTAATGTCGAGTCATTGGGTGAGGAAGAAGTGGTCAATATTTGTGGCATTACTTCACTCGAAGATAAAATGGATCCTAATATCAGTTATTTTGAAGACAATCCTCAAACTCTCGTGGAATCACAACAATTGGATAAATCATTGGATGATTTGAATGGAAGTGATATAACATCTGAATATGAAAACAACGAATCAATGGTCGAAACGCCTCGAGTAGAGAGCGATAAGAACTTTGTGTTTGAATCGGAGACTACTTCTGTGAAGCATAGCCGACATTCATCGATGAGTTTCCAAATGACAAAATTGACTTATTGTGACTCCGAAGACATGAATGATATTCAGATATCGCCGTCAAATACTGACGCCTCCTTTGATGCCATCGATGACCAGTTAAATGTGAGCTCTATTTATATTTTCATATTATTGTTTGATTGTTTATAAAGAAGTTTTTGTAATTCATTTAAGAATATTACAGTAGCATTTAAAGTTAGACCTAATATTTATTGTAAGGGATACTGTAACATATTGTAATATTATGTAATAATATGTAATAATATTGTAATTTTACTCTTATTATGCAATTTGTATGGAAAGTGTGGAGATATCGGAGAATTGACAACAGAAAACATAAGTTGTTTGGAATACTGTGTTAGACTTGTTTGCAATCAATTCCTATTGAATGGAAGTACTGGTCGACTCATATCTGACAAACGAGTTCGCGTTAGTATCAAGTCATTAGCGTTAGGATGTGTTGCAGCCGTTGTACGCCTTCTGCCAAAGACTTTGATTATAGAAATGTTTATTGAAAGCGATAAGACATCCCAGAAAACAGGTAATCAATTAATTTTAATACTATATGACAAATAATTTGTAAACTATGATAATGATTGACCTAAAATACCGCTAAAACTTATTTGCAAAGAATCGCCGCAAAAGATTTGGGATATTCTTCAATACTCGACACACACTGACCCACAAGTTAGGGGACAAATTGCCTTAATTATTGGCAATTTTATTAATGAAGTTCTTAAAGAGTCCCAAAGTTTTAATGAATTTTTGCTTCAAAACTGTTCCATATCTTCATATTCAGGTATATCATGAATTAAATGGATTAATAAACTATAATTAGAAAAATATTAATTATTTGTTTTGACTTGTTTTCAAAAGAATTTCCAACTTTAGAGGAATTAATGACAAAATTATCGTCAATGATATCCGACGAACAGAACTCTTCAGTTGCTATAAAGCAGAGTTTGATTGGACTTAAAATATGTCTCAAGAGTTGCTTAGAATCTAAAGATAGCATCAATTTATATGCGCTTTCATTAATGGATCAGTTAATTGGGTTGAAAGACAACCCCTATTGGCTGATCAAGGTTTGTATTCCATGAATATGAATATGTGAACAAAAACTAAATTTCTGATCGCATTAAAGACCGAACTCGTGGACGTCTTCTCTCAAATCAATTACAAGACTATCCATTACTTCGAAACATCCAAATCTGAGCTCAAAAATGGAATTATTGTTAAGAAAGAAAGTCTTCAGAAAAGGATTTTAAATGAAGTGTTTCTCCCATTACTGGCCGATGAAGACTTTCGAGTGAGAGAGGCTTCGGCTCACTCTCTGTGCAAGTAATGCATTCAATTTGAACGCTTCATACTGTACTCTAACTCTGTTACTATATCTCTCTTTTACTCAGTTTAATACCAGTGCTATTCACTCCTTCGATACTTCTGGACAACGACCCAATAACAGCCATTGCATTCGAGCACACAATCAACAATTTATCTCAAAAAGACCTCATATTTAAAGACTTTGAGTCAGATGTTCCACCGATTAAGGCATTCATTGATCCGCTAAACTCTCAACACTTGAAAATGGATCCAAAGAATCGTTTAATCGAAGCCAACCTCTCGGATATTGTAATGAATTTATTAAATGCATTGCAATTCAATTTGGATGACAAACATGCGCTCATCGGTTATTGCAATGCTTTGGCTCTTCTATCCAACAAATATCCGGTCACTGAATACCCCAACTGTTGGGGAACTGAATTGTCTGAGACGTCGACTGGAATGCGATTATTGGATATTTGTATTACATTACTGTCGACCAGTACTTTGATTGTATTAGACCTGAGCGCTCATCAAAGTGTCCTCACTCTAACGGCTAATATTTTGGAGGGTTTGGCATATAATGCAATCAAAACGAATTTCAAAGATAATATTGCCTTTGCGGGCGAACTCGAGTGGGGTCTCATAAGCCATGTTTGTCCTCATTTGGCTCAACAATCAGAAGCACTTTTTACTCATTTGTTACGAATTATGAATATCTATTCGTCTATCATTGATGAACCGTTGACCACAACTAACATAATGAGCTCTTTAACCAATTATAACAAAATGCCTGTCATTCAGACGCTCTCTAATTCTCCTTTAAGTCCAATGAGAAAGAGATCTTCACTGAAGACATCGGATTTAACCGATAAAATAGATATAATGAAGAAAAGCGATTCCGATAAGTCTGATAAGTTCACCAAATTTGGTTCAAATACACTGTTTGTTCGGTTGAGTGAAATGATCAGAGCCTCATATCTGAGTAATAAAACATCTATGGATTTAAGTGGGGACAAGATGTCAGTCCTTCTCAATATTACACTTAATGTTTTCGGACGTCTTCTGGAACTGTCGACCATTAAATATATCAGTAAATATGCCGAAGAAATTCTGCATTATTTGAAAATAGTGTTCACTCTTGAGCCGAGTCTATCGGTTAAGAATGTGAGACAACTTTTGAAGTGTATATTTGGCACTAATTTTATAATTATGTTCACAAATAATAATAAGAATGACGACAACGAAGTGCCCGAAGAAGATGTGACGGCTAATGAGAACTCGACTCCACAAAGAAATCCGTTTACGAATGGAATTCCTAATTACTTAGAAACTGATGGTCTCTATAACACATGTCTGTCCTCTCCATATGCAAAATTCACTCAATTTTACGCCTCTATGTCTGCGAGAATGAACTCAAGTTTTGGATCCACCGATGAAATGGATCTCACGTTTTGTGGTTGGCTTCGCAAGAAGATTGAGAAAAGGGTTTCTGGTATTTTGGACAAAAACATATCGTCCGGCAATTCAAGCGCTGGTCTCAACTCTAAGGCATCGCTTACTTCTCACATCCGACTCTTCGAACCGGTTGTTATCAAAGCCTTAAAGCAATACACGATTACCAGTGATGTTCAGCTTCAGTGCGAAGTTTTGGATTTATTATCACAATTGGTTCAGTTGAGAGTCAACTACTGTTTACTCGATTCCGAGCAGATATTCATTGGTTTTGTGTTAAAACAATTCGAGTTTATAGAGAGCGGACATCTGGACCGATACGACCAACTAATTGGTCACATATTCTTCTTTTTGATTTTATTGTCGTACGAAAGATATCACTCGAAACCTATAATAGGAATTCCGAAAATCATTCAACTGTGCGATGGAATCCTTGCGAGTGGACAGTACCCCCAAAAGTTTGCGTTGCCTTCACTTCAACCCATTGTCGAGGATTTAATTCTTTTGCGAAACGCCAGTAAAGTTGATTCGAGCAAAGAATTGGAGGCTCAGAGGGAAGTGATTGTCGCCAATTGTCTCAAATTAGTGCAATTCCCAGAAATCCTACAAATTCTAGTGATTGTCACGAAACAGAGTAAGAAAGACGGAGAGGAGAAATGGAAAAAGATTTCGCGACAAATCACTGATATATTGTTACCACAACTCGTCAAACAAAGTGTTCAAATCGATTCGTACGAAGCACTGGAACAGTTGCACCAATTGTTTGAGTGCGTGTCTCCCAGTGTCTTCAGACCCGTCGACATACTATTAAAAGCATTGTTCGCCGCACCGCAGCCCGACATCATTGATAATTACTATTACTTCCATCGATGGACTTCTTTGATATTAGTTATTCTCCGACTACTGATAGTTCAGGTGAAAGAAGAAGTAGTGTTGGCTCGACTCCAAGACATAAGGAGTTCTATTGTGACGATCGGACCTTTTGGTCTACCAGTCATTCCCACGTCATCTTCTGCATCGACTAATGCCATACCATTTCATATGACTTCGATTTCCAATAGAAATGATTCGTTGACTTTAGAGTCAGAGGAAATGTTTGCCGAATATTTGTTACAAATAATCGAGTTATGCAGTCATGAGATCTCAATCCGAATGAACACAATATACGAAGACATCCGAAAACATTGCCATTTTCTGATCCAACAGTTGGCGAACTATATGTTGATCTTAACGCATATGTTTCAATCCGGTTCCTTCAGACGAGTGGCCAAAGCGGCCATGAATTTGATCAAGAATTCTAAGTTCGATGAGTGCCTCGAAACTGATGATACCAATAGCTATTTGAATGGATTTTCACTTCAAAAGACCAACTGTTCATTTCTGGACATAATGTCCGACTGTCCCACACTTGCACTCCAGTGGTTCAACCTTTTAATGCTTCTTAACTATGAAGACAACAACGAAGACGGACTATGGAATCAACTGATTCGACCCAATAATAACTCTCTGAGCGCTTCCAACTCTAAGCTCCAGACAAACAGCAAACGAAGAGGAAGTGTTAACAAAACCAAAAATGGGATCCTCTTCTCTCCTAGTGTTGAGATCATACGAAGAGGTTCTTTGATATTGTTTTGTGACTTTGTTTGTGAGAACATGAATGATGCCGAACACATGACATGGCTTATCGTCCAGAATATTAATCAAATGATCAAATTGTGTCACGAATTGCCTGTCAGTGAATTCATTTGTGCCATTCATCGCAACTCTGCGTCGAGTGGTCTCTTCATTCAAGCCATTAATGCCAGATGTGATGAAAATCTTAGAATCGGTAGTTTTTGTCGTCGCCTTTTGCACTGTTTAGGACGAGTACATCCGACACAATCGGTTTCACTCATCACTTTTCTAATCGAAAAGATTATTTCAAATCCAAATCTTCAATCCAATTGTTTACTTATGAGTGAAACCGAAAATCTTGTCATAAAGCGCTTGAATTCAATGACCACTTCCCTCGAGTCCTATTCTAATCAAAGCACTAATCAGTTAACGTCTCAGGATTTGGATAAACTGTTGCTCTCTTTGAATCCATTGAGATATTCAAAACTCATCTCTTGTCTCGAATTATTCAGAGCTGATTCAAAAGAGACAAAATCTCTGCAAACGTCTCACCCGTTAATCGATAGCCCATTGATCTCTGAAATTCCTGATCTAAACAAAGAGTGGTTTTTGATTATTTTGAGCAAATATTGCCAAAAGCATAGCAAAGGTCACAGAGGGGCACATCTTCTCAACAAACTCTCGTACGACGACATCGTATCGATTATGTCGTCCAAAGAGTTTGCATTAGAACTGTTGGGCGATTGCATAGCATTTGGGGATCAGATCATTGAAGAGGACGACAAGTCTAGCACCAAAATCATGTTTTCGGCGGTTATGAACCGAATCAATCTCCTGAAGGCCTCTCTTAACGGAGTCCTACAACACGTCAGTTATTTCATCAATATCCTACCGGTGCCTCACTTTGCATTCCTACCCCATTCCGAGATGATTACTCCAAAGGAGGCCCGACATCGCGATAAACTTATTGAACTCTTCAGCCAAACCAGTCTTTGGAACTATTTGTTCAAACTTTCCAATGGATTCTTGGCTTTTCTGGAGCACCACTCGGAACGCAGTATTGCCACCGATTTGTTAGCAAATATCATCAGAATTACTGTTTTTTACGCCGAAGCACTTCAGTATATGACAGAAACCATTAAAAACGTCTCATTCACTCATCTTATTATTGTCCTGAGAATCATGAAATCAGCCTTTAATTGTAACTCCATTTTTACCTACTTATCAACCCATGAGAACATCAGCTACCAGTGCTCTATCATATCTGCAGTTCACTCATTCACACAACTTTGTATGTATTATTTGTAATTATAATCTAGTAATCTGTGAATTAATTTCTATAATTTTGTATTTAGTTTTCGGTGATTTACCCAAATTAGAAGAACCGCAAAGTTTTGTCAATTCAGAGAAAGAGAACCCGGAGTGGAAGCACCCGCACCGGGCGTGCATACGATCCGCACAATTGGTTTGCTTTCTAGAGAACGATAAACACCACTCAAGATGTGTTCCACCGGTGATGAGAAATCTCTTGAAGAAAGTGATTCTATTGACAGCACGACTACCTCTAGTGAACAGCTTTATAATGGTTCCCATCTCTGTCTGGAATTTCAAGAACGACGGCGTCTGGAATCCAACCTTTTCGGGCGATTTCGGAACCGTTGTGCCAACCATTCCATCAGAATATCTTCATTACAAAGAAATTTTAAATCAGTTCTCTTTTCGTGTGATGAGTTTGGGCTGGAATTCAAGGGTTCAGTTCGAAGAGATTTGGATGACATTACTGGGAGTGTTGGGCGCTAACAGTGCTTATGTAGAATCGGCTGAAGACCAATCTGAACGCATTAACATCTGCATCACCGCCACAAAAGCCATCACAGAATTATTATTACTTTCCACTCTATCCCCACAACCGGGAAATCCTATCAAAAGCCGATTTGTTTATCAGAAAAATGAAAAGATGGCTACTTTTCTGCACTCAACTCATGGCGTGAAACTGCAATTAGTTCGCGAACCGCTTATATCTGCCATCTCTTCGCTGACCACCACTAATGATGAATCCCTACACAATGTCTATGATTTGGGACAGATTTGCATCCAATTGCTAAGACATTCAATCAAGAGTTCCAATTCAAACGAATTATCGCCATCTCTGTCATCCACCTCTTCTTCATCAGACTATAGCCCCTTAAGTCCAGTGAACACTTCAAATATAAACAAAAATATGTCAACCAATTCGGATAAACTTGAAATTGATTTAAATTCTTGTTTGCATTTCCTTCTGGACCTCTTCGGCCAGTTATTGACAGCTCAACAGTCAATGCAATTGCCATTGCTTACAGAGATTTGCAAATCGATAGTCTTTTTGTCCGATCTGTTCACTGAGAGAATTCAATTTGAGTGGCTTTTGGACACATTCTTAGAACTCCATCGAATGGCACAGATATCTGAAGACGAGATTATGTCTCAGTATCTAATTGTAGGCATTTGTAAGTCAAGTGCAGTATTAGGTCTGGAAAACGAACAGATTGTCGATAAGTGCAAGAAATGTATTGAAGCGAGTCTTAAGAGCCATTACTTACCCACAAGAATAGCCACTATTCATGGACTCAAATATATCCTTGAATTCCGTGGCATTGGTTCTAATGGAAGGGAAACAGCCTTTTTGCCCATCGCTTCCGACTATATTCTCAAACACCTGTCCGATAATACTATGTAAAACATATTAGAATATAATTTATTGAACTTACAGTTAGACCTAAGAATATTGAATATAAATTATGATTCTTTAGGCCAAGCAGTCATAACATCGAGCACGTGCACCACATGTGGAAACTAGCCTTTCATTTGATTGAGTTCTTTGTTGAAGAACTTTCCGACAGTGAATTCGGGCAAAAAATATTTCAGGTTTTTATCACATGTTTTTGCTTCCAATGATCAATGTATTAAAAAACATTTTCGTTTACCTAAAGCTCTCTTTGAAAATATTGACTGACAAGACATCAAAAATATACCCAATTGTTGTCAATGGCTTAGAAAACCTGATTTTAAGTGAAAAGTTTTCGATTAAAGAATCAAATTTGATCGTTAAATCAGCTTTGGATCGATTCAAGTCATCCAACTGTCAATTGGATGCTTTGCTAGCCTTTCAACTAATACTGTCGGCCACTTATTTTGGTATT